CACAGAATGAGAAGAAACAGCTGCAAAAATCTGCTAAGCATCGGAATTTGGACTCTAACAAAGTATGAATCTAGGAAAATTGGAAGTCATCAAAAATGAAATGGAACACCAAGTTTTACATCCTAGGCATTAGTGAGCGGGAATGAACTGGCATTGGCCATTTTGAATCAGAAAATCGAATGGTTTACTGGGCCTGGAGGGACCCAGTTGAGAAGAATGGCTTTGTGTTCATCGTCCAAAAGGATCTTTCGAGATCTATCTGGAAGTAAATGCTGACTGTGATAGGTTTAGATCTCGCAGCTGTGGCAGCCAGATCCTGAGATGCTGAGCTCAGTCCGGGGCAGGAGCCATTCTTACTGATGCCCAGAATGCGCACTGCCCCTTTCAGGGACCACTGCAAACCGAGCTGGGTGCTAGCCTGCTTTTCACTTCTTCTCCGGCAAAGAGGAAACCCCCTCGGATTTCTTTTGGTTACGAAATCAGGCACGGATGCAGGTCTTTCATCCAAGTGAAGTGGTGTGAGAAGACTTTTAGAAAAGCAGGTAGTAACACCTGAACTATAATTGTACTCGTTTGTACTCACAGTGACCTTATAGGACAGGGTAGACCTGCTCCTGTGGGTCCCAAGGCGGGTTTTTTTAACAGGGGTAGAAAGCTTCATCCGTCTCCTGAGCTGAAGCTGGTGGTTTCGAACTGCTTACCAGTGGTTAGCAGCCCAACTCCAAACCCTTGGGCTGCCGGGGCTCCTGTGCTGTAGTAGAAACCGCTAATGTGGACTAAGCACTTCCTGAATATCAGGAACAGTTATTTTTGCTCTTTTTTTTTGTATGCTACAATAATTTATTAAACAGCTTTCAAATACATGTGATCTAGAGATTTTTTAAATTAGCATTTTAATAAAGTCAATGTGTTTGCTTTTGCCAACAAGCACCCAATTAATATTATGCTTTCTTCTACCTTAGATGAGCAAGTCAGTGGTGTTTTTATTTTCACCCAACAACAAACAGTTTTATTGGCATATAATCCATGTACCATACAATCCAATGGTTTAAATATATTAAAAAGTTGTGTAATCATCACCACAATC